ATGCTGCAGCAGCATTCATTCCGAACAGAAAGTGAAAGTTAAATGTAGCCGCTATCGATAACTAACTAACTCAAAATACTCAACGACGTCGTCTCATTCCAAAAGCTTTATTCCTCCGCCATTTTCTCCCCGCACACCCAACAACAACTCCCGGGCTAACAGAACTCATGCGATATAACAGAAAATACCAAGTTAACAATCTCCCTCTTTATTTTAAAAAATAAAATAAAAGTATAAACACATCCCTGTAAACATTTGTATATGTATATGTATGTGTATATATATTCATATAAACAAAAAAAACATTTCAACGCGATTTGCTTTACTTAAAGCAAACTATCATAGCACACAATAAACAATAGTGCATTTTAATGCAAAGACAACTTCGTAAACAAAGGATTACAGTATCCAGAGTCCTTGATCTAGTGCCTTTAGAAGGGTCAAAGGAGACAAGTTTACATAACAATCTAACAGATTTTAAACATTAAAACTCAACAGAAATGATTCAGAAGGGAAATGAAAAATTTCACAACTTTGTGTGTGATTTATTATTGTTATTACTATTACTATTATTATTATTAATTATTTATTGTGGTCCACCACAGAGAAGCTGCTCTAGCATGATGATTTTAATTATTCTACAGGTTATTGTCCAGCCTTCTGACGCTCACACACACACACGAGTGGTGTTGAGCGGCTGCGTCTGAGTGCTGATGCTCCGTGTGTGTTTTTATTTTTGCAGTGAGACAAACACACCTCACACCGTCCAGAGTTTGTTCTTTAAAGCTTCCATTAAATCCACCGTGTTGACGTATTTAACACGTTTCCTCTACGCTGCAGGAGTTAAAGTTCACATCATGGAGTAAAAGTTCAGCAGACGTGTTTGTTTATATCTGGGTGGGGGGAGGGGGGGGGGACTCGGTGCTGCACACAGACAGCTGGTGTGATCAGCTCTGAAAAGCGTTGATCACAATTTGCAGATCACGTTTATTTTTCTAGGAGATCAGCCGCGGATTCCTCTTCTGGTCGGTATTCTAGGAATCGAAATAACAAACTTTGAAAAATTCCGGGAGAAACTTAACAGTTGGTCCCGGTTCCAATCGATGCCCAACCCTAGAACTAACATAGCTAACTAACTAAATTAAGTTAAAAAATGTTTAAGTCCTTTTCTTGAGGAGTACTTGTTGATTGTAAGCAGCAATAGACAGCTTATTAGCTTGACTCTCCCATATTCCATTCAGAACTGACAAAAGCTCCTCAGATGAGAAGCAAAACGTCTTCAAGAGTCCAAAAAAGTCCAGGTCCTTTAATGTGAACACTTTTGGGTCGTGTAGTCATTTATTTGGTTGTTTTAAATTGCCTGCCAATAAAGCTTTGTAACAATTTTAAAGAGTATCATGACATTTTCTCACCCTTGCATTGTTTCTGTACCTCTCCTTCTCAGATCCAGATCAGCTCGGAGAGCTTCAGACTCTTTGTGATCTCATTGGAGTAAGGCATCGTGACAGCCCATCCTCTCCATTAGGACAGCAGGAGCTCTTTCCAGGGAGTGGTGTGTTCATCTCATCGTTCCGCCTTGCTGCCATGAATCAAGCATCCAAACCACATAGCATGCGCCTGTTTCATGCACTTTTTGATCATTTATTTACTGTCGAGGAGTGTCAAAATGCAGTCCCCTTTGGTCGCCCTGGCAATAACCCCTCTGGAAAGGAAGGAAAGCGGGTCCTGGACCGTAAAAAAGTGGATGCAATCCTTAGTAAGTGTTTTTCAAAATTAGGCTTAAAGGCCATGGTACTGTGGATAATGATTATATTCAGTCTCCAATTAAGCAATATCACACTCAATGTCATGCATTGTTGCTGAATATCAGCACTGGTGTGATCATCTACGGCACTCAGCCTGCGGCCTCGTGCCTACAACCAAATCACGCCAGTGCTGATATTCAGCAACAACGCATGACATTGAGTGTGATATTGCTTTTATACAACAGTTCTACCTGCTCATTTTTTATAACAATAAGCAACAACAGATTATGATTTGTTCATTTATTTAATCAATTATCAGGCTATGCCAACACAAATAGTACCAACACAAAACGGAGACTCAGAAAAGCCTGTTGCTAGGCGACACAAACATTTTCTACAATAACTGTTAGAACGGGTGTGTACAGTGGAGTGATACTGTTTGTGAACAGTCTCAGTGCTGTTATTCAGCGCTTTGGGCTTCCTGACAGGGTTGCGGAAGGCGCTTTATAAATAAAGCTTTGATTGATTGATTGATTGATTGATTGTTATAGTCCAATATCAACTCTTGAAGTCTCTTGACCAGTCAAGTCACTCGGTCGGAACTAACTGTTGTATAATGATAGATAATGTCACCTCAGTCAGAAATGTAGAAATATTGTGTTTCAAGCAGTTTTTTGTTTACATTTATCAAAAAAAAAACTAATCAACCGTGACGTCACTGAATGCGCCAGCTAGTTTGACTAAATAGCTGTAAAAGACCCTAAATAATATCAAATCACCTCCAAGACTCTCCAAACTAACGGGAATAGTGCTTCTGATTCATAACACAGCATTGGCAAAATGAAAACGTTTTGTGTCCTTATTTAGAACGCCGGCCTTTGGGTGCTTGGGCGACTCCCGTTATATTGTTTTACATCATTTGGGAATTGATCTAATATCTCCCAGAAAACTCCAAATAGCAATAAAGTTGTCAGGGTGAGTAAATGAACAAATTGCATGCTAGAATTAAGGTCCAAGTTGCAAAAAACAGTACACACCTTTTAAGTTTTTTCCAGTTAAGTATAACATACTTTATCCTCATCTGTGTTTCATATTTATGGCCTAATGAAATTAACAAGCTGATTTTCAATTATTTTACCTGAAATAGATGTCACAGTGTTATGTCCTTTTAACCTGAAGTGTGGTTGTGTTAGCTGTCTTTTTGTCTAATTACTCATGCAAGACTTTGATGTTCTTGTCTTATAGCCTATGTCCTGAGATGTGCCACTCTACCTGGTTGGGAACAAATTGAAGAGGCCAAGCTCAAGAAAGCCTTTGTCAACAAATGTAGGGCCAGAGCAGGTTCTAAGGAGTAGGATACTGCTATGATATACAGTATGTGGTCTGCTTTTTCTCTTATCCATTGTTGTTTTTTTCTTGTTAGTCATGGACCATAAGTGTTGAGACATTTCCTGCCAAGTAGGGTTGCAGGGATTACCTGGTTTGACTATTGACCACAAATGTCTCCAACGCGGCCTATAAAACAAAAAAGACAACAGCGCGACTTGCACCGACAAAAACAAAAGTGAAACTGAACATGCAGAACATTGACAAAAACCATTAGGACTGCTCCATTTCCAACTAGAAAGCGGTTGAAGTCTCCTGTGTAAGAATTTATCTAATATATCTGAAATATTCCCCACATGGGAGACTTTAACCACTTTCTAAATAGAAATGGAGCGATCCTGATGGTTGTTATCACTGTTCTGCTTTTGCTGCGTAAGCACATGCAGTTCCACTTTTATTTTTGTCCGTGCAAGTCGCGCTGTTGTCTTTTTGTTTTTTTATAGGCCGCATTTGAGAAGTTTGTACGGGGGGTTATCCGTGGTTAATAGTCAAACCGGTTAATTCCTGCAACCCTACTGCCAAATTAGTTTTGGGATTTGGTTGTACTTGGTTTATAGGCAGTATTTTCTCATGTTCGTTTTCACATGGTCCAATACCAAGTGGATTTGTTCCAGGTGCCTCTGCAGTATTGTTTGTTGTTGACAATCTGGAAGTATTGATAGTATGTCATTCTGATTGACCTTACAATTATCTATCAGTTGTTAAAAAGTCTGGTGTAGTTTATATATATATATATATATATATATATATATATATATATATATATATATATATATATATATATATATATATATATATATATTAATCCTTGTTTGTAAAGTTAACATGGTTAAGGCCTGACTTCAAAGCAAGGGGGTTAGTAGACAATGACATAACTTTTATTTTTGTATTGAATTTAATTTTTATCTTATTTATTTTATATTTATGTATTTTGTTTTAATGAGTTTAAGAAAAGTCAATACGCTGCTACCCAAATATGAATGGTGTTCTAATTGTGCTAACTAAATAAAGTGTTAAGCGCTTAAGTATTTTTGTATTTTTTACAGTCAGTTACAATCACTACAGACTTACATTACATTCTTAATTTCTTAAATTTCTCAAATATGGCTCAGATGGTTCTCATAGATGGCTTTGGTAAGATAATTAAGAGAAATAATGAAGACACGGAAGAGACATTGGACACACAATGATGAGATCTCATTTAGGGCTCATTCTTCTCAGATTTGTCTCATAAATTTCTCAGATTCATCTCATGTTATTCTCCTTAATCCCCTTTTAAAATTACAGACGTAATTGAGATCAGAACCATACCATTATGAGATCTCTTCTGTTTATCCCAGTTCTAAAGTATTGCTCAAACAGGTCTCTCAACTCAACCTCATTTGTCTTACTGATGTCTTTTCTCTTTTTAGCTTATCTCTTGCTCCTAAGGGACCCTTAGGAGAAATTATTCAGAAACAAATGATCACAGAATGAAACACACAAGAGATTCTCAAAATAATCTCAAGAGATGAGATTGAACAACTGATGAGCAACACATTTTTTCCTATGGGGCTACTTGTGGCCTGAAAGCACAAAATATTTAATTAAATTCATACAATCTCAGAAACACAGTACTTGCATGAAGTCCTCCAGAAATTTCTGTGCACTCTAGAAAAGCTAAAAGGAATTAATTAAAACGGTAATATAAAATATAACTGCTATGGGAGACACAGCCACTTAGACAAACCTGATGCAAAAGGGTGAAACCTGAATTAGCTAAATATCGTTAATTTGTAATGTAAAATGAATCATTACCAAGGGCTTTAGATATTTGCTTCTTTTTAACACACTTGAGTAAAAAGAACATGTCTCCCCTGAATAAAAATCTATAGTTTTCTTTGCAAAAACACTTTTACTGATGAATAAAAGTAAAGAAATACAGGGATTTCTTCAAAAATAATTATCTTTGGGCTGACTCTAAATGTCGATGCAAAAAAAAGGGTCTTTTCTTTTTAAAAATATTATGATTTTCTTTTGTTGTCTTCTAACTTCCTGTTAGTGATCATAACATACTGATTTACACAGGACTGTATGTTGCAGGCATCTCATGAACAAGCAAGCAAAGATCCTAAAACAGGTCTGCTCTGAACTGAAAACTTTTTTTAGAAAGATCTAAATGCCCTAAAACAGCAAAAAAAAAAAAAAATCACAGCTGATCACAAAGACTTTCACATATTCTTCATAACGATATTTCTATTTAAACTGGAAAAAGTTTAAGGTGTTTAAATAACACCTGTGCCGAGATTAGTTTCAGACATGAGTCATTAATTACTCATCTAGATTTTACCAGCATTTTTCCTTTGAAACCTACTAAATAAAAAGGTTAAAGGAAATGCATTGTAACATGTTATTCTTTTATGGGATTTTATAATGAAGTATTTATAAGAATCGTTGGATTTAGTATCAGATAAGGTTCATTTAGTAGTTACAACTCTGGTAAAAACACCAGTACGTTTTACTAACCTACGTTTGCTGGAAACTCTTCCGAGTTACTTTAATTTTGTTTTCGTGTGACATGAAAGTAGATTATTAAATCATCGGCACAAATGATACAGCGCTCGAGCGCCTCTCCCTCAGGCACGCGCACAAGCTATGCAACTTCCTGCTCCAGCTAAAATTATTTCTACTTTTAATATTATTTTTATTTAGTAAAAGCTAAATAAAGTGCGGACAGAGCATTAATAAGCGCTGCTTTACATAAATGCAATAAAGTTTAAACACCGAGTGGAAATGACGTTTTTGGTGACATTTACAGCAACCATCGGTGGAGATGAAATGACGAGATGCAAGCTAGCATCGCGTCTCATCCTTAAACAAGCAGCTAAAAAGTAAACTTTTGTCTGTAGCGTGTTTACTTACTGAGCCTGCGTGTCCACCACAGTCGCCATAGCTGCCCGTCTCTAACTGGTGCGGGGACAGTTTCTGACCGGAGCGTGTCTGCGCTTGAGGCGAAGGTGTCAAACTGCAGTTTGTTTATGGTGACATGTGACCAAGTTACACAAAACACCCCTTCCCCTCACTGAGGGCGATTCGTCTAACTGCAATATTTTAGAGGAAATTCTTTTACATTTTGACACAATAACTTTTATTCTTAGGTGGAAAACAATTACAAATAGCTATTTAGGGGTTTTAACTCAGAATTGTCATTAAGAGTTGATTTTACTTCAGATTATTTTACAAATTTATACTACTTATCACGTCGTTGTTCAATTTTCCAAGCAACTAGATAATGGAAATAACTTTTAAAATGCCTGTAAATTGTTGCCGGATTAATATTTGCTATTTCCAAAATACAGATTTCTGATTTGTTTGTAAATATCAGTAAAATAATGATCATTTAAATAAAAGTTAAACAACTTTGTGGTCATTTAATAATAGTTCTGCTTAATAAAGGTTAAAGTACAAGCAAATGAGGTGTGTGCTTTTTTTACACTCATTTTATGTAAATGTTCATTCTAGAGTGATTTATTTGTTCATATTAAAAGGGTAAAAGCACTGCGGCACTTCCTCATCCGTGTGCACAAATACAGGTGGTTCAATAAATCCTCAAGAAAAAAGAAACAAAACATACAATTTGTTCTCAACTCATTTATAAAATTATTTTCATTGAATAAATAGTATTATTCACCATGACAGTTTCATGTGAAATTAGACCTTTAAGTTTTGTCATATTAGCCACATGTGGGATGACTGACAGTCAGTGAGCTGATTTGAAGCTGCTCTGATCTTTAACTCATGTTTTGTGTGTGTGTGTGTGTGTGTGTGTGTGTGTGTGTGTGTGTGTGTGTGTGTGTGTGTGTGTGTGTGTGTGACAGTGGAAACAAAAAGTCACAAAATGTGACACTAAAGGCAGGAGGCGAGGGGTTAAGCTTTCAGTGTTGATGATGACGAACCAAAGGATGCTGTTCACCTAAATAGCTCTTTGAAACAATAGTAAGTCATTTGCTTTGTGAGTATCACCGTGCCAACTTGTTTAGAATGAGCTTTAAGAAAGCTCAACAGTTCTTTGTTGACCAACTTCCTGGCACTCTTTCAAACAAGCCCACCTGCAGAACAATAAGTAAGTTAAATGCTTTGTGGTTGAGATGGGTGATTTTGTTGTAAAGTATAAGGAGAGGTGTGGCTGAATGGCTGATTAGAGTTGGTAACCCCAAATTCTTTACTTGTCTTAGAGAGAGTCATGCATTTCGTGAAAGGGGAAAGTGGTTTAAATGTATGCGTGTGTGTGTGTGTGTGTGTGTGTGTGTGTGTGTGTGTGTTTACAGCCTCTGATGATTCAGCCTGATGTGCTGCTGGACAGAAAGTTTTACACAATAGTTTTAGTTCTGGTCAAAAAGTGTCAGTGAGCTGCATGTAAATATTTACACATTTAAACACAAAGTTTAAGACTGAACATACGAAATCCAAATATCTAATATTTGGGAGAAAAGCACTTTGTGAACATCTGCCAGATGGCTGAGTAAATCAAAGAGAGCAGGGAGTATTAATGACATAGACAATGTGTCACTCTGAAGAGTTTGTGTGTGTGTTCAGCAAAAGGCTGCAAAAGTTCTTGCATTGACTTCAGCTTCTGCCACTCACTCGAGAGCAAGCAGACACATCCCATTCTACAGTCAGATTCTTTAACTTTGAGGAGACGTACAACCATTTCATACGTACTTGACCAGTGTGTGGGGCTGTCATTCACAGCAGTTAGGCCGCACTCATCCACTGTCAGTGACCCATGTCATGTTAGATATAAAAAGTCCACGAGGTTAGACTGATATGGTGTGCCAGTAAGGGCTGGTAAATGCATTATAATGGCTGCAGCGTCAGACTGATGTGGTTCTGCTCACTGGTGACAATAAATATCCCTCTTTTTCTTGCTTCTCTGCATTTGCAGTACAATTTAGATGACAAAACTTTCTGTGTGTTGAATTTAGGTGATGAACATATCTGAGAGGCTTGCGACAGCGGCGTATCCACGCTCTCTTCTTTCACTTTTTGAGTTGAAGTTGAAGCGTCGGATGTAGACACCTCTTCCTCGTGGCTTGGTGCTTCATTCAGCTCCTCGTGGTTTATCATTTTTTCTTAGAGGTCGGCTTTTCAGCATTCGGACACGATCTGAGCTTTTAAAGAGTTATGCAAAGGGGGTAACACTATAGGAA